CCCCCCAATTACAAATTTGTGGCTGGTTTTATGTTTTTTTTTTTTTTTTTTTAACCCCCCAATTACAAATTTGTGGCTGGTTTTTGGTTTTTTTTTTTTTTTTTTTTTTTTTTTTTTTTTTAGGTTTGGCCTACAGCTAAATATGAATGAATCAGAACATCATTTCCTTTTTTTTGCTCTGTGTCATTGAATAATCATGAATTATTTATATTAGAAGAAAAAAAAACATCTCTCTCACACAATGCGTGTGAGACAGGAGTCTATGTAAGACGTTGGTTTTACTGATATTTTACCAGAAAAACAAAGTGATTGCAAAGTTCTTATTTAACCAAGTTTTTATCATCTAACACAGAAAAACCCTGTAAATTCTAGACTCTAACAGGTAAAAATAGTGCACAAAAATCCGTGTAGGATGGCGAAGTCCTAGCGCAAAAATTCGCGTGATAGGTGGATGGAGCCTGGTGCTGCAAGGTTGGAGACCTTGTCCTGTTCGGCGACGAGGCCTGGATAATACCCGTGTTAAGTGTTAAACAGACGGCGGAGTCCGGCGACGGCAGGCGTTTAATTCCGTAACAAAAGTGTTTCTTTTTTTTTTCTTTTTCCAAAATCTCTCTTTCTTACTGTTTATTCAATGTCACATGCTGTTTTTATTTTGTTTTTTAATTATGTAAAGCACACATTTCAGCCTTGCTGCTGAAATGTGCTATACAAATAAAATTTGATTGATTGATTGATTGATCTAACATCAATGATTAGAAATGTGGACGGTTGAAATTAGCAGCTGTACTTTAGAAGAAAGACAAAGAACAAGAAATAGCTTTAGTAAACCGAGACGATTAGTATAAACTGTACTTTTAAAGAAAGAGATAAAAGCTGATGGTTCACATTTTTTAATCTTAGCAATTAGCACAGCAAGCATAAATATTAACTGTTTTTAGAGAATGTTCATTCCTATTTCAACTCAAAATTTTTGAAATGCTGCCAAACATGTTCAAATCTAACATGAGTTACATTATTGTAGCTGTGCTAATCACGTTAATCACTAACGTGATTAGTACTAATTAGCACTAACTAGCGGTTAATAAATAACCACTCTATTAAGAAATAAGTAGCAGTTACTGCTTCATAATAACAGCTACTATAAAGAAAATACGGCATCATAGTGAAGGACGAAATGCTGCTTTTGGAAAAATAAATTTGTTAGGATTCTCCTTGTCAGTCAGACAACTTTCAGTGCTAATCTGCAGACTCTCTTTAATATCTTCTGCACCAAAGGGAACTGTTATCACCATGACCTTGTAGCACTTTAGTTTTGTTTACTGATTGGAATAAGATGTTACTGGTCACAATCAGTCGAACTTAAATCTGCTGATTCCTCCTCATGGATGTCATGTGAAGATGAGAAAGAGACATTTGTTTGTATAAAGACCCCAAAACTAACAAATATAGTCATACCTCACATGAAGCTTTATCTAGCCTTGAGATAAACATCAGTCCAGGTTGACAAAGGAGACCTGATTTATGCATTTCAGTCATGTTTGCATTTGTCGCAGACTGTTTTGGGTAGCCAGTGTCTCCTCTTCAAAGGCATTCATCAGAGAGATAAAAGCCACATGACAGCCGATATCTTCAGGACAGATTCCAACACAAGATTATTGCATTTAGAGGATGTTTGTTGGCACAAGTAATCCACGAAGTCATTATTTGAGGATAAAAACAACGTTAGAGGAGCACAATTGCTCCTCTTGGATTGTTTTGGACAAAACTAGAGTGGGTAATGTTGCTACAATTTGCTGTAAGGATTGCATCAACTTCAAACCTCACAGCATTACTCTTTGCTTTTTGCTTAAAGAGTAAAGCAAAAACAATAGTTGTCCTCCAGATTTATAGTATGAGATTTTTGCTTGAGCACCTGGATAACGTTTTTCTTTGAAAATTTTCTAAGGACTAAAATCATGAGAGGAAAATGACATGCAGATTTTTTAAAAGATGCAGTTGTTTTGAATCCAATAGTTTTACTTGGACAACAAAAAAAAAAAAACCCTCTTACCTTTATACTTTTACCCAACTCCAACCAAGGAAAAAATGATTTACACTTCGGGATGAATATTGAAAAATAGCAATAGGTTTCAAGTAAAAATGCTAAGCACACAGAATATTACCCCTTTTTTATTTCTGCTTCTAATTTAGAGAGACAAATAAGATGCTAATATTACCTGGTTAATGAGGAGCTAGCCTGCACTCTGCTGCTTTACAGTAGCATCCCAGCTAGCAAGAAAATGTTTGCACGACGTCCGTGAACGTATTCTGAAAGTCGAACGTCGAATGTTCGGACCTGACGTTCAGCAAACGTCTGAACATTCACTCTGAACATTCGTTCCCAATTAAGTTTCTTTTTTTGCTGTCATTTCACTTGATTTAGTTTTTATATCTTTAAAACTTTTATGGCTGTTATTATTTTTTATCAAATTTTTATTTTTCACTTCTTATACAAAGTGCATACTTCTGAATGCACTTCAGAAGTATGCACTTTGAAGTGCATACTTCTGGTGGTTTGAATGTTCTTGAACGTCTTCCGGGCGTTTTTATAAATGCTGCTTTAAAAAACTTCCAAAAAACGGAGGCATTACAAAGAGCTTTATTTAAGCCTACAAAATACATTAAGATTTCTTTTTGTTACTCTTGCTGTTATTCTAATGCAAACGTCTCTTCTATGTCTTAATAAAAAATAAATAAATAAATAAATAAATGTTCGGACTTGACGTTCGCCGAATTTTAATATATTTAAAGCCTTTATGGTGGTTAATATTTCTGACAAAATCTCTCTTTTTTGTCATTTTAGAGAGTCTGAATGTTGTCTGAAAGTTATCTGTTCGTCCGTGTGTATCGTTTAAAAATTGGGTTACTAGCTTCAATACCTTATTTATCCAGTAGGGGGCTCCACGCCCGGCCAAACATTATCCTCGCAATTCAAATAATGGTTATAAGTCCGATTTTTCTCATTTCCTTTCCTGCATAATCAACGTTGCATTTATTCCAATATAATGTAAACGTATCTCAAAGGAGAGTAATACTTAAATAAAAGTCCAAGAAGTACTTCCGTTTGGAAAATATGAATTTTCTGCAGAGTAACGTCTCTTCCCAACTCGGATTTCTGCAGTTAAAAAGCAACGCAAGTGATGGGATCTACCTTGTTCGGTAAGTTATTAGTATCCATACTTATTTCTGTCATATTCTAACCAGGCACGTGGTTAAAGCGTAAAAAGCCACATAACTTGTTGCTGATGCCTTTTGTGTGCGTTTGTATCACGCTAAGCTTCGTCCTCCTTCGTATCGAGCACGTGCCGATACTATGACTTCTCAACCTCTATTATAAAGCTTGACCTGACCAGAAATATTTATCTACGTGAAGTGTCCTGCTCTTTTTTTCCCTTAATGTTACTTGTCCTAAGCCACCGAGTCAACATAACTGGGAAGTAGGTAATCGGGAGAGTTCGTGGACGGACCGCTTCGTTCATATACTGAGGGCTTTGAAAAAACATGATGTTTTCTCCTCAGTCTACTACTGAGGAGAAGTTTAGCTGCTGGCAACGAGTAAAGCTGAATGCGAATTAACTTTTTCAGCGCATAAAATTATAACATTTAAAAACTTGAGTTCTACATTGTCCTTTTTAAAAAGCCAGATTAAAGAAAATAAATGTATTAATACTTTGTATTGCTAAATGTGCAAAGCTTACTGACATTTTCCAACACAGCCATGAGAAGAGGCAGCTGGTAATGGGAGTTACACCATTTATTGGATCATCAACTACAAAATAATATGCAGCTCTACATATTAATAGCACAACATTTGTTGGTATCACAGCACAAGCTACTGGGTGATGTTCTGCTTAATTCAGTGTTAGTTAATTTGCCAATTAGATCTAATGTTTATCTTATTATTTCAAGGTCCTTCAAAGAGTTGTTGATGCTGATGGCTGTGAGCAGGAAGGACCTCCTGTAGCAGTCTGTGTTACAGCCTCTGACTGAAGACACTGTTTTTCTGATGAAGAGGACGCTCCGAGTTGGTCATACTCTTTCTTAATGGACATTATTATGTTTATGTTTGAATGTTTCCTTTAATATATTTGATTAAAGTAATGATTGTTTTTTCTCATATGTAATTTCAGGTGACAACTTGAAAGTCATACAGAAATGTTGTCTGGCTGAAGATGTCAGACCTCAAAGCAGAAGCCCAAGAGGATCAGGTAAAAAGTTTTTGTAAGGCAGTAATTAGGATTATTAGCTGCAAAGAGAGAGAGAGAGCTGTTCATGGTTTCCTTCAGTTTGATCTCTATGTTTCTTCAATGTGATTACGAGTTACAACAGTATTACAGACCACTTAGAAATACATGATAATCAAGTGTTATTGGACAAAACTTTGATTAATTAAATAAATCACGCTGATGTTTATGCAGGTTTTTAATTAAATGTTTTTGTTACAGGTGAACTGAGATCTATTCAGATTTTTAGGAAAAGCCACAGATCCAGAAAATCTACCCCATGACCAGCAGCTCCAGCAGCCACAGCCTCCCACCTGTCCTCCATCTTCACCATCTCATCCAGCAGCTGCTCTGTGTTCACCTGTAGCTGTTTAGTCCAACCAGTAACTCCACTAACTGACTCCCTTCAACTGGAAATTCCTCTATCAGGTAAATTTAACCAACATGTAAAAAGTGACTACACTTTGTGTATGTATCATATTTTTAATTTAATTATTTATAGATGTAAGGCATTTTTGGATTTGATTAGTTGACGATATGAATAAGAGAGTTAAATGCAAATAAAGGTTTGTGTGGTGGGAGTTTTGTCTGTTTTAGTTTTCCTGCGTTAATCCAGGTGAGCTGCAGCAGAGACTCATCTAAAGCAGGACAGAGGGTCCTGACCTGCAGGGCTGAACACCCCCAGTCTATATTATAATAAATTATTATTTTACATTACAGCGTTTTTTTATCATTCTTTGCAGACTGAAGCATTCTGTGTAACGTCTTCAAAGCCTTAAGGAGCTGAAGAAGTTTGCCTGGGAAACCCCGGGATGCTGCGAGCCGTTCTGACCCGTCTGACAGTCACTGGTTCTGCTGAAGAGATGGACTCACTGGATGAGCTCGGCCTTCCAGCCTCCACTGCAGAAAAATTAGAAGTCCTGAACCAAAAACTGGAATCAGGAGTTGTTCAGAAATAAATAGTATGTATAATTTTTTGAAAACATAATTAGCCTTTCTCTTCACATTATTCTTTCCATCTATCAGGTGCAGTACTGTTTAAATATTGACTTTTAAATTCTCTGTTTTCCTTTTTTAGTTGGATCTCCAGGGACCTGATCTGCTGTCTACAACATTTTATCCAAAATCCTCTCTCAAACCACCAAGCAGAGCAGCAGAGATCTATTCAGACTGGGTGGAGAGAGAAGTCTTTCTGGTCACCAGTTCTTGGTGACTGAAATATTTAATCTCATCCATCCATTTTCTATACAGCCTTGTCCCTTAGTGGGTTCAGGAGGGTTGCTGGTGCCCATCTCCAACTAACGTTCTGGGCGAGAGGTGGGGTCACCCTAGATGGGTCGCCAGTCTGTCGCAGAATCTCATGTGCCTTTCAGTCTAAAATTGTATGAATTGTTGAACATTATCCTATAGCTGGACTTTGTTATGTGCGTTTCTCTGTAGCCAATGAAACGTTTTGTCATCAATTTGGTTGTCATCAATTTTACAATTTATTACATTAGATTAAAATGTGTTGTAAACAGAAGACAACTGTTCCATGTGAAAACTAAGTGTGGGGCCAGCTTGGCTTTTCTTCTTCTACAATTTGTTACAACATTGGATTAATATCCCATGGTAATGGAAGACAACTGTTCCTCATGAAAACCTTGCATTACAATAAAATTGCTGCTATGTTAGCATTTCCACTGACCTAGCATAACTATTATATAGCTTTTTATTTTTGAATAAAATGCGAAAGTCCGCTGAAAGTAGTCAGCAGACTTTTGGTGGATATTCAACTGAAAGTTTAATGGTGGTCAATTTTGAGTCCGAAAACGTGGATGTCCGCCGGACGTCCTTTGGAGTTTCATTTGGACGTCGATCAAACGTAATCAGCGGACGTTCAAGACAACGTTCAGCGGACATGCTCCAAACATTCAATGCTAGCTGAGATAGATTCCTCGTGTGTGACCCATAACCAGGCTTTTAACCATGTAGGGTTAAAATCAGAACCAGCTGCTGATTAAGCAAGAATTTATCAATGGATCAGACTTCAGGTTGAAAGTCTGGTTTAAAAACATCTTAAAGATTACTTGCAGTTTGAAAACACTAATATTTCTCTTCTTTTCCCAACAGTGCCATCCTTCACATTCACACCAACAGGTAAGCAATTTATTTCAGATATGTGCAAGCATAGGGTGTCTGCATATTCTTAAAGCATCTTAAATTCATAAAACTAAATGTAAGTAAATACATTAATCGGAGGTCTTAAATTTTGTTGTTGCAGGACTATTTAATCTCATACATGCATTTTTTCTGTCAATCAAAAGTTTGCGAGGTGTGTTGACATCTTCATTGTGTTCTGAGTTGAGGAGATTGAGGCTACTGGTAACTAGCTGCTAATATACCTCCTTGCTAGCTAACTAGCTAGCTTTTTTGTGCCTATCATGGTGACAGGCTTTGAACTCAGGAAAAGTCACTGGGTGCAACAGGAGCACCCAGTAACTTTTCAACTTTCTTGCGGAGTTGCTAGCCTTTGTGTGCACGTCTACATCTACAAGTGAAAAATCTCTCCTGCACGGATGTCGCAGATCACTTGGCTGGAGGAGGGCTAGCTTTTACCACATTGTGTCAGATCCATAGGAAACAAATGGAAAAGGAGCAATGCTGCCTTTCTTGTGTTGAGCTGCTGGAAGGCGTTCATTTTCACCACTGCCTCAGTTCTGTGAGGACGGGAAGAATTTCAGTATTTTTTGCTCTGCTTGATTCTAATACAGCAGGATCCTGCTACCATCACATGCATTTAGAGTTTTTTGGTCTTCGATTTCACCCAAGGTGTCATTAAAGAGTTTTAAATTTGACTTACTTGTAATCTGCAACATCTGCCATCTTTGATTAAACTATTAAAATAAAAATCACTGACCTTATAAAGTCAGCACTTAGTAAAAGCCAGTAAAATAAACCAATCATTTGCAGAGTTACTTAAAAACAAAGGTTCTGCTCAGTGTTTTGGGTTGAGTCAGAAGTCGGTGCCAGTGATCAAGACGCCACTCTGCTAAGAGGCTATTAAAGCCAGTAGCAACTTGATCAAAGCAGCTGCTTGCAACATTAGATGGGATTTTAGAGAATGACACAGCACTGATGCACCGTTTAGATAACTCAGGGAGGTCATTTGTAAATCAAAGTGACATGCCGTGAAGCAGATAGAGAAAGAAGCGTTCCTTCCGTATGAGTTTGTTTCTGGTCCGCTCGCAGACCGAAACCCATCAGGGAAAAAAAAATTCTTTGTCTGTCCAAGGCGTGGCATGGCTGAGAGTAGATGAAAGGACACGGCAGTGAGCTACATAGAGGGGAAAGACAATGTGTTTGTCTCTTTCCCCAAGGTTGATCTTGTCTGAGCATACCCTCTTATCTGTAGCTACCGTTTTATTTGCTACTTTTTTTTCTGCCTCGAGGGTTGCAGTCATCCAGACTCTTATTGCAGCTACACGCTCGTTTCACGATCTGTTGGAAATCTTTCAGGTCAGACTCATTCCTCACCTGTGTAATAAGGTTTTGTTAGTTTTAGAGAAGCGAGACTGTGCAGGGTATTATACTGATTTCAATCTACAACCAGACAATTATGCTTCCTACGGATATGAGGGACCCCAGCTATTTTCTGTTTTAGAGAAAGAAAAAAAAAAAAAAGAAGCCAGAGAATGAACAGAGCCGAGACCAGGGCTCATTCTCTTTCTACCCTCCTCTCCTCTCAGGGTACAGATTGTAATTAAAGTTGGAGGTTTATCTCCCTTTCACACACCGGCAGCTCAGAGTTTCTTGAAAGTGTTCGACTTGCAACGTGAGGAGCTTCAAACGAGTTGAACCTGAGCTAGAAAACCAAAGAGTTCCGCGTTTTTGTTCCTCATAAGCCTCTTAGGGTGAATCCTCCTGCACCACACGTGTGACTCTGCTGACACCATGCAAACATGCCAGCATTTAAAAAGTCAAAAAATAATTGGTTACAATAGTATTTTAACTTTTTTTTTTTTTTGTCATGGTACAGCTACAAACTTTGCACACAATTCTGAGGTTTGTAAGAACTGAAAAGTTTGGCATTTATTTAGCCCACTGACACCACTTAATTAATTTTGATGTCAACAGTCACCTTCAGCACCTCTGTGTAATTAATTTTCTCTTAATTTGCTCTGTGAAGGTTATAGAAATTTGTTAGGAAACATTAGTGAACAATTGAAGAACAAGGATAAAATTAAGAAATTAAAGCAGAATTAGCTCATACAAACCATTTTCCAAATTTTGAAAATTTCATAAAGTATCGTTCAGTCCAGGAAACAAAAGAGGATTATGGCACAACTATAAACCTGGCTGTTAACGCCATGGCTGTTCACCTGTCGTTAACAGGGTGAGACTGAGGGGAGCTATCCGGGTTTTCACCAACTCAAATGAAAGACTTTTAAAGACCTTTTTAAATTTGATTAATGGTGAAATGCAATATCTATAACATAATGAAAATATAAATGGCAGTAAGCATGCTGCTAGAATACAACATTTACCTACTTTAACATACTGTATTCAGTCATTGCCTTTTGCATGCCCCATGTCTGAACTGTGGTTGCCCCTCTCCCAAAAAATGTAAATGCGTTGCTATTTGGTTCTGGTTCTTCAATCTAGACTTTCAGAATCCACCTCGCCTCGTATGGGTTGGCAACAGAAGTGGATCGGTGGTGTAACCGAACATTGTCTTGCCAACTGTCGATCAATTTGCACTTACCCATTTTGGATGCACAAAAGGTAGCTATTAAGAATATTAGCAGCTTGCTTCTGGTAGCCTCAACTCTCCTCAAGTCACAGAACCCAATGAACACCACTGAAACGAGAGCGCAGTGATCAAACTTTTGACTCTCAGAAAAGTCCCATGAGGGGAAAAAAAACCTACGGGAATAAACGGGATTAAATGATCCTGTTATGACCATGCTGCTAGAATACAACATTTATCTACTTTAACATGCTGTATTCAGTCATTGCCTTTTGCATGCCCCATGTCTGAACTGTGGTTGCCCCTCTCCCAAGAAACGTAAATGTGTTTCTTGGGAGAAAATGTAAGTTTCTTACATTTCATTAAAAATGAAATGTAAGAAATTCATTTCAGACATTTTAAGACCTTAGTTTTGGATATATGAATTTAAGACTTTTAAAGACTTTTTAAGTGGAAGGTTTTCTTTTATTAAAATTAAAATGCATCCCACATTTTGTTTCTTTTAAAAAATAAATTAAGAAAATAAGAAAATTACAATGTATTCTCCTTCCACTTTACAATTATAATGCTGGGGCATTTCTTTAAACATCAATAATGTCCTTTGGTTGCGTAAAGAAATTGTAAAAAATTGGTATTTTACATTTCTGTGAAAGTCTACTGAAAATTATTGTCTCTCTTTTCAGTGGCATATCAGAGGGGTGGGGAAAGCGTCAGCAGTGCTGGAAGGTAAGAAGAGTTTCCTTAAATTCTATTTTTAATAAATAAAAAGTGGGTGTGACTGAGTTGGGCAGTGGTACTTTTCCTTCACAAACACTAGGGGGAGAGCTGAGCTTTTTCTAAAGTAGCAGGAGGTGGAAATAGGTGCACAAAGTGTGTTGTATTACTACAGGAACAAAGAGCTGTGCAGCCTGCCAGGGGCCCATCCCCATCACACACACTGAAAAGCCACATCCAACCACAAGGCTGTGCCACAACATCACCATAAAACCTTAATGGAGATGCAAAGCTCGCCGTCCCATACAGTGAAGTGGTGCATTGTGCATAAACAAGTGAGACCTTTCAGAACTAGAACCACCAAAACTCATTTGTATATCCACTAGATGGCCTCTGGCATGGCGCCCATATAGCCGGTAAATGGAAAACAGACACACACACACATCAAAAAAAAAAAAAAATGCATTCAATTATTACCCGCTTTCTGCTCAGAGTACAGAATGTACTTAATGCCATGTCATAAATGTGTGTGTTTGTGCGTGCGTGCGTGTGTGTTGTTCATGTGTTAATGAATAGTTAGCTTGAAGCCATCAACAGTAAATCCATATTCATTACATTACCCAGTTGTATGATTGAATCCCGGACGCAGTGAGGCTGTGTCAGCTCTGCATGAAAACAATGGTCGTTCGATATCAACACAGAACCACTGGGGTGATGGAGGAGCCATTGTGAGATTGTATTTGGCTGTACAAGACAAATGTGTTCATTACCCAAAATGAATCCAAGAAATGAGTCATTTAGGACAGAGTGAGGAAATGCAATTCGATGCTAATTCAGTGCT